TGTGTGTGTGTGCGTGTGTGTGTGTGTGCGCGTGTGTGTGTGTGTGCGTGTGTGTGTGCGTGTGTGTGTGCGTGTGTGTGTGCGTGTGTGTGTGCGCGTGTGTGTGTGCGTGTGTGTGTGCGTGTGTGTGTGGGTGTGTGTGGGGGTGTGTTTGGGTGTGTGGGTGTGTGTGTGCGTGTGTGTGTGGGTGTGTGGGTGTGTGGGTGTGTGCGTGTGTGTGTGTGCGCGTGTGTGTGTGTCCCTAGCCTCTGGCTCAAACCGCTCTGGCTCGAGGGGGGCCGCAGCGGCTGCTGCCGCAGGGCCGGAGGTCGGCCCCGACCTCCTGTGTGGCCCCCTGGGCTGGTGTACAGGCCCTCCTGGCCGAAGCCTGGAGGTCTATACATCAGTCCAGGGCCCAGCATGGGCCAGGCCTTCCTCGTGGTGGTGTATTGTTGACGCTCCCTGGAAGTAAAAACCCCTTAGTGAAAACGCAAGTCTGGAAAAATCGCTTCAGTGCGAGGCGGGGATATATATACATACATACATATACATATATATATATATATATATATATACACACACATCCGCCGCCTGTGCCCGAGCGCATACAGATTCACAGCCTGCTGAGGTCCCCGGACATCGACCTCTCAGGCGGCGGTTATAAGAACAAACACCCCCAACCTCGGATTCAGAGCATCCCACAGGACCCCAACTGCTGCAAAACAGCAGATATTGTTTTCAAACGTGGCTAGATATCCACATGCGCATCTATGTAATCTAGCGCAGTCTGATTATGATGTCTCATATGTTAGTTCGTGACATCACGCGTTAAACTGTATCTGGGCGCACCGCGAACGGTCACAAGTGTGTTGTTGCCAGACCTCGCAACAAAAACCCGAATGTTCTCGCTAAACCTTACTCCAGATTTCGTAATAAAAGGGAGGGGGTCTCAACCCTCCCAAACGAGAAGTTTTAGACCCCCCCCGTGGGAGAACCCTCCAAAGCATCGTCCCCAGAACCCCCCAGGCCCTCCAAGATAGCCTGGAAGAGACCCCCCCCGAAATGAGACCCCCCTCCCTTTATTACGAAATCTGGAGTAGCTGAACGACGTCTCAAACATCAGCAACCCCCACATGCATCTCAGCACAGGACACTCTCGGGACGTTCCGGAGCGCTCTGAAGCAGCCGCGGGCGCCATGAACACGCCGCCCACCCCCGTCGCCTCCTGGCGGGGGCGCGCCGCTCGCCGCAGGGGGAAGCCCACGGGCACCGACACCGCTACCTCCTACCCCCTACCCACAGCAAGAGGAGGAGGAGGAGGAGGAGGAGGAGGGCGGAGCAGGAGGAGGAGGAGGAGGAGGAAGAGGAGGAGGAAGAGGAGGAGGAGGAGGAGGAGGAAGGCGGAGGAGGAGGAGGAGGAGGGGAGGAGGAGGAGGAGGAGGAAGAGGGCGGAGGAGGAGGAGGAGGAGGAGGAGGAGGAGGAGGAGGAGGGTCCTCATGGGAGGCTCGAGCTCCTGGAACCTCCTTGGCCCCCTCTGCTCCTCGTGGAGGCTTCTCGTCGCCCCACGGCTGGATCCGCCTCGGCATTCTGGCCAGAGCGTCGCCCTGGGCAGCCTCGGGGCTCGACTCTGGACAGCCCTGGGGCCCAAACACCTCGCGGCGTGAGAAGATCCAGAAGGGACCTAACACCAGCAAGGACCAGGAATCGAGGACTCAGACAAGGGCCAGGGCGGGTCAGGATATCCCTTGGTGGCTTCGGGCCAGGATCGGGGAGCGAGGCCTTTCGGCAAGGGGGCCCGGCCCCCGGCAAGAAGCAGCCTGCCATGCGGCACCAGCCCTGGAGGGGGGGCAGCTCCAGACCTCAGCGGGTCCACACGGACTGCGTCAGAGGCAGTGGTTTCGGCGCGACGGCGGGGATCTATCCATGGCCACCGACTCGGGGACCTCGGCAGACGGGCCCTTGCTTTTGTTTCCTTTTGTTCCCCAGTCAGTGCTTGGGGGTCCTATAGATGTTGACAGATTTGGCGAAAAGTTTCCCGCCGATTTTAGTACCTGATTACGGGCTGGGTTCCCTGGTTCCGGTTATGGGTTCCCGGGTTCCCGGGCTCCTGCAAGGTCATTGGTTCCGGGCCGATTTCGGTGGGTTCCGGGCTCCCGGGTTCCCGGCCTCCGGGTCGATCTCCTCATCGATGTCTGTATCGATCGCGTTTCAAACCAGCCACTGATTGGGGTTCTTCCCTGGTGCACTCTTGACTGCGCAGGGCGAGAGCGCGGGAAAGGCAGCGGCATGGGCACCTCCGCTTCCTCCGGCCCTACACCCTGCGAAATGCTTAAGAAATCATGGGTTAAGAAATTCATAGTCTCAGAATCTGCATCAAAAAACAGAGCTTCTGCTAAAATCTGGGGATTTACATTGAAGCATTAAGAATAATCGAGACTCTGGCCGAAAACTTAAGTTTTCTTAAGCATCGCCTAGGGTGTATCCCTCCCCCCCGGGGGAGGCCGCGGCGCCCCCCTGTGGAGAGGCGCCGCGGCCGGCCCGTGCTCCCCTATAGGACGCTGCCCCCGAGAGCGGGCAGGCGGACCCTTCTCTTAAGCCGGGCCTGTCCCCCCACAGGGGGATTTTCGACGAAAAAAATACCCCCCCAAAAAAAAATAAATAATAGTCGACGATTGTAGTCGACGATTCTAGTCGACAGAAAGAAAAGGGGTGTTCGACGATTGTAGTCAAAAAATAATCCAAAAATAGGCTGGGGACTATGTTATTTCTTGACCTTTTTGGACTATTTTGGGGGTATTTTTCATTTTCGTCGAAAATCCCCCTGTAGGGGGGACAGGCCCGACCTGACCCTCCTCTCTGCTTCCTTCCTTTTTGGGCCTGCACGCCACCCCGGGCGCGCCGCCGGGCTCTGGCCCTCCCGGCCTGAAGGAGCCTGTTTTTTTTTTCAGGCCCCCCTCCCCCCCCCCTCGCCCCTCTTCAAGCGAATACTAGCGTGCAAGTGCCTTTCGACTTGCGTGATTTCCGCGCCCCCCCCCCCGGGCTTGCTTCAGGCTCAGCCCCCCCCCCCCCGTCCATGCAAGTAAACTTGCCAGAGTCGAAAAAAACAGGCTCCAGGCCCCGCCCCGCGCGCGCGCCGGGGTCAGCCCGGCAGCCGCGCGTAGGGCCCGCCCCGCGCGGGGCCCGCGCGCCGCCCGGGCCGCCCCCGGGGCGGCGGCGCCACGGCCTCCGGGCTGCAGGCGCGGGCGGGCTCCTCATGAGGTCGGGCACGTCCCCCTATAGGGCAGGTTCGTGTCGTGTCGACCCCGGCGTTTGGTTCCCGACACCGCGGGGATCGTTCAACCTTGAACGATCGGCCGTTTCCGAAACGTCCCAATCGCTCCGCATCGAACGGTTTTGGGTCCCCCGCGGCGTTCAACGTTGAACGCCGTTGAACGCCGCTGGCGGGGTCGCCGCCGGTCGACACGACACGAACCAACCGTACAGAGGTGGAGCTTGGGCGAAAGATTTTTGGAAACACTCGGCACATGCTCCAACAAAAGAAAAGCAGAAATGGTCAAAACATCGTCCCCCCTGCTATTTTTGAGCACTCCCCCTGTAGAGGGACAGGCCCGCCTTAGGCTCCTCGTCGGAGGACCCTGGCCGCGCAGAGGCCTCCTCGGGGATGGACAGACCTCCCTTCAGTAAAGCGTGGTTTAGTGAAAACGACCTCGAGGGCCAAAACCTGGCGGGCGCAAGCCTGAAAAATGACGGCCGCGGCGCCCCCTCGAGCACCGAAAACGGGCAATTCACTGATCGACGTGTCACTGCTGGGGGGTGTCTGCCCACCCCCGATCGAGGGACGGGCCCGCCTCAGGCTCCTCGTCGGAGGACCCTGGCCGCGCAGAGGCCTCCCGCCTGAGCGGCGGCAGCGCGGGGAACTCCAGCAGCGGGTCGAGGGCCAGGAGCTGGCTCAGCTCGGGCGTCCCCGGCGCCTCCAGGGGCCCCGCGGGGGCGGCGGCCGCCTCGCTCCCCGCGCCCGCGCCCGCGCAGCTCGGGGGCAGCGCGGGCAGCGCGAGGTCCGGGCCCAGCCGCTCCACCAGCGCCTGCTCGTCGCGCTCGAGCTGCTGCAGCATGTCGCGGAGGTTCCACTTGAGTCCTGGAGGGCGCTCCTCTAACTATGTTCGGCGACGACGGGCATTCTATGGGGGGGGAGGGGCCAGGAGAGGGGGGGTATCATGTAACGCCTCCCCCCACAGCGTGCCCGATGCGCACGGCGGCAGTGCCCGGAGCGCACTGGGGGGGGAGGGGCGTCACGTTAAAAGGAGGGGGGGTCGGGGGCTACAAGGCCCATTATAATTATATGCCCCAAGCAATCAGTCCTGCGAGGAATCTGGCCTCCCTCTCCTTGGCCTTGGGGAAACCGAAAAGGTACCGATACCACCACTCCCCGGACCTCTCCTGGGGTGCGTTCTGACCAGGATTTCGAAGCGAATCCAGCCGTGGCGACGAGGGCCGCCCAGGAGGCCTGAAAAAGGGGAAAACGGGCGGGACGGTGGAGGCATGGGTACCTCTTCCTCCTCCGAGGCCTTCTTCTCGAAGGCCGCCTCGGCGGTGTTACGAATCATGCCGCCCGGCGGTGGCGGCACCTCGCCTGGCCGTGGCGGCTGCTCGCTGTTCCCGCCGCGTGGGCCGCGCGCCGGCCCACCCCGACCTCGGGTGTTGCCAGAAGTGCCCCTGGCCCGCGGTGCCCCCAGCGTTTCGCTCCACTTTGGAGCCCCCATGGGGCCCTCTGGGCCTCGCGAGGGATGCTCTGGAGGCCACCTGGGCCACCCCGAGAGTCCAGGAGGTACCTCGGGCCGGGGGTACTTCTAGCAGCACCCGACAACCCCCCCGTGGCGCCGCCTCCCGCCGGACCGCCCTCCCCCGCCCGCTGGAGCCAAAATGTCATAGCACGGGCCTTGCAGACGTGATGCAGCGGACTTTTGCGCGGACCTCTGCGCGGATCTGTGTCCCGCAACGGCGAGCGAAGAATGGAGACAGTTTCCTGTGGATGTTTGTTTTTGTGGGTTTGCATGCCTGGCAAAAAAAAACATCCGTCCGCGCGAAATTCACTGCGAACTCCGGAACGAAACTCTCCGGGACAATCCGGGCTCATCCTGTTGCTTTCCGAGCGACGTCCGCTCTGCGATGTCATGCTGGCGCCAGGACCCGCGCGCCTGGGGGCACCAGAAGGCACCGAGTGCCGTGGGCCACGCTGCTCCCCGGACTCCTACCGAGGTGCGTTCCGCGCGAGACTTCGCGGCGAGTCTGTAGCAGCGGCGACGAGGGCCTCCCGAGAGGCCCGAGGAAGTGCGAGAACGCGGGAAGGGCAGCGGCAGCGGCATGGACGCTTTTTTGACTACCTACCAGACCACCCCAACCCAACCCGAAGACCCGAATTTCGGGTTGGGGGGGGTAAGGATTTTACATGTGTTTTTTCGATGTTTCTGGACCCTCCCCCACTGAAAATCGAGGGTAAATGTGAGCCTTCGGGTTGGGTTGGGGTGGTTTGGTGGGTGGTGATGTTTCCCCCCTCTGAGCGCGACGATCTGGCGTCGAGCAGCAGCGCGGCCAGGCTGGCTCGAGCAGCGCAGCGAGCTCGCGAGGCGATGGGCCGGTGGCCACGGGGCCCGCGCGAGCGAGAGGGGCCCGAGCGGCAGGAGGCAGGGCGCCCGGCAGAGGACGAAGGAGGCGGGAAAGGCCGAGGGACCAGGAGAGGGGTATTGATGCACATATGGATGTGCACATGCATATATGTATGTGCATACATAACTGTATCTGTATATGCATATATATATATATATACATATACACATGTATACATACATACAGGCATACTCACATGCATACGTATATATACAAACATGCATGCATGTGTGCATACCTGTAAGCATACATCCGTCCATCCATCTATCCATCCATACATGCATACAGTCAGGCAGATGGACAGATGGACAGACAGACAGACAGACAGACAGACAGACAGACAGACAGACAGACAGACAGACAGACAGACAGACAGACAGACAGACAGACAGACAGACATACGGACAGACAGACATATTTGTGTATATATATATATACACACGCACATACACCAAAAATACATGCATGGTACTAGACACAGATGTACACTAGAAATTAGAAGCATCGCGTTTTGCGCGCGCTCAAGTTTTAGCGAGCTCGAAGTACAGTGCGCAGCGCAGGGAAAAAGTAATCCTGGAATCAAGGGGAGATGAGGAGCTTTCAGAGTGTCTGACTCATCGCAGATGAGACCGTTCGCGGTATGCTTGTGCTACGTGCAAGCGGCATGGTTCCTTGTGCGGTTGAGGGTGTTCGAGCCACGTTCGGACTAGTGTTTGCTGCCAGGACCACGCTGCGGACAAGAAAAGACCCAAGTCTGACTGTCTGATCTCTGCGGTAGCGGCTTCGTGCTGTGCTAAGATCAGGTTTACGATAAAGGCATGCCAAGGTCGAGCTCCGCGAGGGATAGAACACAGGAAGACGCGAAGGTGGTAATACCACGTCGGACAAGAGGGCGCGCGGAACTCTTGGATCCTCCTGGTGCCATCTTCGAACTCTCGTGCTCCCCATCCAGCAGGTCTCCTGGGTGTCATGGGGCTCTTCTGGGGCCCTCTTTGGCCATCTCGGGCTCCCCTGGACTCCCTGCTGCCCCCCCCCTCGGGCTTCCTCGGGACTTCGACAAATGCCCCGATGCCCTCGGTCCGCGGGGTGCACGACCGACCGCGGAAGGCCACTCGGGGGCCTCTTGGAAGCCCCGGGAGCCCTTTGGACGTGTTTCGGAACCTCCTCGGGGCTGCTTTGTGGCTTCTGGGGGCCTTTGGGGGGCCCATTGGGGGTCTCTCGGGGGCGTCTGGAGGTCTGTCTCGTTGTTCGCTCTCGCCTAGTTGGTCGCCAACGGCGTGCCATCTGGACGCGTCCAACTGACGCGCTCTTCATTATGAAAACAACCGTACGTAGCCGCTGTGAAAGACATGAAGGGCGTAGACGTTGACGAGTCCATGCCCTCCTCACGAGGCTTCAAGAGTCCTCCAGCCGAGGCGCAGCCACTCTGTCCAGCTCCTCGCGTTGGAATTGCCGTGCGGCTTCGCGAAGAATGCGGCTCTGTTGAGTGCATCCGCAAATAAATAGTTTATGTTCGTTGGTAAATAAAACGAATGCCCTTCAATCACGCCACTTGCCAAGCACTGGGCAAGCTGGGCCACGCGTGCCCCTCATGGCCCGCCTCTCTGATGCTGCCCTCGACCAACCGCCTGGAGGGGCGGTACCGACTGAACTGGGCCAGCCACGCATGGAAACAAGAGCGTTGAAGGGGCCTGTGGCTTCGCCAACTCATCCTGGGCCACGCGCCGCAAAAGACTCCGACGCACAGAGAACAATAGCCGCCATTGGTCCTCCTCTTCCTCCTGCCCCTCCTCCTCCTCTTCCTCCTCCTCCTCCTCCTCCTCCCTCCTCCTCCCCCTCCTCCTCCCCCTCCTCCTCCTCCTCCTCCCCTCCTCCTCCTCCTCCTCCTCCTCCTCCTCCTCCTCCTCCTCCTCCTCCTCCTCCTCCTCCTCCTCCTCCTCCTCTCCTCCTCCTCTCCTCCTCCTCCTCCTCCTCCTCCTCCTCCTCCTCCTCCTCCTCCTCCTCCTCCTCCTCCTCCTCCTCCTCCTCTCCTCCTCCTCCTCCTCCTCCTCCTCCTCCCTCCTCCTCCTCCTCCTCCTCCTCCTCCTCCTCCTCCTCCTCCTCCTCCTCCTCCTCCTCCTCCTCCTCCTCCTCCTCCTCCTCCTCCTCCTCCTCCTCCTCCTCCTCCTCCTCCTCCTCCTCCTCCTCCTCCTCCTCCTCCTCCCTCCTCCTCCTCCTCCTCCTCCTCCTCCTCCTCCTCTCCTCCTCCTCCTTCCTCCTCCCTCCCTCCCTCCTCCTCCCCCTCCTCCTCCCCCTCCTCCTCCTCACCCTCCTCCTCCTCCTCCTTTCCTCCTCCTCCTCCTCCTCCTCCTCCTCCTCCTCCTCCTCCTCCTCCTCCTCCTCGGGCCCCCCCTTGGCCCCCCTTGGGCCCAGAGACCACGCCGAGGCCCGTCTGGGTCCCCACCCGCAGCTCCCAGCGCTCTCGGAAGCAGGCCCAAGAGAGCGGCAGCCGGCCAGCCGGCTCCTCCATCACCCGCGCCGCCGCCGCCTCCGCGCCCTCTCCTGCCGCGGGCCCGAAGAATGCACACCATGACCGCCTCCACTGCCCCCCCCCTCCTCCGCACTCCTCTTTCCCTGCCCCTTTTTTTCCTGGGAGAGGGAGGGGGGGGGGAGGAAGGTCAAGGCGAGGCCAGGACGAGGACAACTTCGGGCGACGAGGATGAATCGAGAATCTCTGAGATCCGGCGGCTCTGGAGGATATCTCGGGCGCCGCGGCCTTCTCAAAACGCTCCAGAACGCTCTGAGAAGCGTTCAAGAACGCTTCGGAACGGATCTATCCTCGTACTGGCCCCACCCCCTCCACCCTGCAGCTTCCCACCTCGTTCCTGGGAGAGGGAGTAGAGGAACAAAAAACGGCAAAAACAAAAACTTTCGGAAAACCGCGCGGATGTCTTGAATCCGCGCCGGTACCCCCTCCCTGGTGCCCTCCGCGCGCCAGGGGCGGCACCGGAGGCGCCGCCAAGGAGGGCCCAACGCCCATCCAATAAATCTGCGCGGAGCTCCGAAAGCTTAATTGTAATTGTGCTGTGGATTGTTCTTCGAGGGAGGGGGTCAGGCAAGTGGTGGTGGTGGTCTAGCTTGCGGCCTCACAACTGCCGCCGCGGCCTTCTGGAATGCTGCGAGAGCGCTCCAGAACGCGCCCTGGAACGGATTGATCCTCGTGCTGGCCCGACCCGGCCCCCCTACACCCTCCAATTCCCCTCCTCCTTCCTGGGGAGAGGGAGGGGGTGAGGCAGGTGGCGGCAGTCTACAAGGAAGCTGGAAGAAGTGGATTTTGGAACGTTAGTGAAAGTGGAAATGGCCAGGGCTGGAAAAACTGCTGTGGGCGAAACGAACCTGAAACAGCCTGGAAAAAAAAGGAAACTGGCCAGGACTGGAAAAGTCACCTTTTGCGAGGCGGGGATTTGGAACCGACGCCCCGGTGCCCCAGCGGGCGGTGGATGTGGATATGTGTTGGCCCCCGCGGGCCCGAATAGATCCATTTTCTACCGCCTCCTGCGGTCCCCGAACATTGATCCTCCAGGCGGTGGCCATGCGTAAACTTCCGCCCATGCTGGGCGCGTTTTCCAACACAACCGCCATCAGTTGGAGGGGGAGGGGGTCCTCCTCCTCCTCCTCCTCCTCCTCCTCCTCCTCCTCCTCCTCCTCCTCCTCCTCCTCCGTAGCCATTTTGGCTCAAGCAATTTGGGCTCAAGGCATTTGGCCCTGAGCTAGCAAGCACGCACTTCAGAGCGGCTCGCGCTTGCGAGCCAACTGACGCAGAGACGAGCTCGGCTGGCCCTTGGCATCGCGTCGCGCTGCGCCTGGGGTCCGAGCGCCAACGACAGCGCAATGGGAATGCACGGGCAAGTGTGGCGGATGCCCAAACTACATCAGCAGGGCGGAGTGCAGAGCGCGTGGGACCAAAGCGCCGCCCAGCATGCTGCGGGTCGTGAAACTGCTGGGGATATCACGGAGGCCAAGGACCAGGAATCTGCGCGGCGAGCGGCCGCGTCGGCGCGAATGACGCTCGAGAGGAGGCTGAGGGCCTACACCACGTTCTGGCTCCAGGACGTCTCTGTGACCGACGAAGCTGGGGACAGAGCGCACTGGCTGCGCTTGTGCGTGCCCTACGTGGCCGACCTGCTGATGCATGGTACGTGGACGCCGCTCGTCTTCGAGGCTGCTCGGACGATTGGCATCGACAACACGGGCGCGGTCAGGCTCAGGATGGCGCAGGATTTCTGCGAGGCGGCGCGGGCAGCACGGCGGCGCATTCGGGCCAACTACCACGCCAACATGCGTAGGCTGGCCCAGTCCGACGCGCAGGAGTGGGAGGAGCAGGTGGCGAGGCACGCGCGCTCCATGATCGAGGCAGAGGAGGAGTTCAGCGCTGTGCCTGGCAGGCGCGCTGATGATGCCGCCCGCGGGGCCGCCGCCGCGGCGCCTGCGCCGCGCTGGCGGCCGCGGTCTGCCCTGTGCTGTCGTGAGAACCCGCCGATCAGACCGCGTCGCTGTCGCGTGGAGAGCAGGCAGCCGAACCGTCGAGTGCGAGGCCGCCTTCAGGGGAGCCGAGCACGAGAAGCGGGCCTAGCAAGACCGCGTCCGCTTCGGAGGTCGCGGGGAAGCAGGGGCCCCAGGTTTGCGGCGGAGCTGGGCCACGGCGAGGTGGGCTGGAGACTCGTGCTCGGCGACCTCCCGTTGGAGTGTCGAGTGCGAGCGCAGCTCGAGGCGCAGGAGCCCCCCCTGCCCCGAGCGAAGGCGGTCAGCAGTGCATCGCTGCTGACAAGGCGCCCGACAAGCTCTCGATAGTTTCGGCGAATTCCACCTCGTGGGCCAGTGGTCAGGCCTTCTTGGAATGGAGCAGGGATAAGAAGCTGACGTTCGACGTCGTCGGCTTGCAGGAGCACCGTACCAAGCACGGCGCCAAGCTGGAGTCGGCGGCGACCTGGGCTCGGCGCGCTGGCTTCGGGATTGTTCGGAGGTCTGGCTCAGGACACGGGCCAAGGGCCCCTGGACAGCTCTGGAGGAGTGGCAGTCCTCACGGCTATGGCGGCGGCCAGCGTGGATAAGCCCAAGGAGCGCAGTGCGCTGGGCCCCCATCGGGCGCTAGCCGCGAAGCTCAACACGGGCCTGGGCTTCCCGATCTTCTTCGTCTCGGCCTACATGGTGGACAGCATCGGGGTCACAGGCGACAGCATTGCGCTGCTCGAGGCCCTGAAGTCTTGGGTCCGAGGCCTGAGTGGCCTTGGGTCATACTGGCGGACTGGAACATCGAGCCCGACGATTTATCCAGCTGGGCCAAGCAGGCCTCTGGGGTACTCGTGCGCCCCTGGATGTCCAACTTGCGGCAAGCGCGACTACGACTGCGCCATAGCACCCGGGGCACTTGCTAGTCGCGTTGGCGCGGCCAGAGTCAAGGTGCTGAGCGACGCCCCGATCTCGCCGAGCTCGCCGACCACCATCGAGCTGAAGGGCCTGCACCAGAGGGCCACGGTCACCAAGGCGGTCTACCCCAGTCGGCACCCGCTGGCCCTGCCACCTCCTGCGCAGGCAGCGCCGCCTGAGCTCGCCGATGACGAATGGCCGCGGCGCTTGGGGGCTGGACCTACTGACGTGGAGGAAGCCTCCAAGTTCTGGTACGCCCTGGTAGAGGACTGACTACCTTGACAGGCACCACCAGCTGGAAGGCACAAGCGTAGCAGAGCGGCCAGAGACAGAGGCCTGCAGGTGGAGACAGTTCCTCTGGTCCAGGAGTGGGAGGACATGCTGAGGGAGACGACCAGCAGAATACCGCAAGTGGGCAAGTCTGCTAGCCCCCTGCAGAAAGGGGGCCGCTCTTCGAGGACACCAGCTGGACAACGGTTGGGGCAGGCACTCCCGCTTCGAGCGCCAGGTCCGCTTGGTGCGCGCGCTCGAGTTCGACAAGGTGGAATGGCCGACCTCTGGGCCGCTTGCTGCCTGAGACCAGCATTCCATTGCGCACGCGTTCCAGGAGCTGGACTTGCACGATTACCACGCCCTCCTGGTCGACCTCCACGACCACGCAGCCTCCATCCAGAGGAGGGACAAGGCCATGCGCAGTAAGGAATGGAGAGAATGGGCACAGAAGGCTGCCACCAAGTCAGGAGGTCAGAAGGGGCATTGCTTATCAAGGGCGGTAGCTTGATCCCGTCGACGGTGATAGCGCGCGAGGATGACGAGAGTGTCCTTGCCTCCCAGTGGCAGGTGATGCCGCCATGAAGGTGCTGATGAAGGAGCGGGGGAACCTCTGGGTTCACCCTGACAGGGAAGGTGACTCAGGCCCACGGCTCTGGGAGCGCGGCGAGGATGGCGCCAGGCAGGACCTCCCGCCCATCACCGCGGGCGCCCTGGACTACGTGCTGGCCCCACGGGGAGGGCACAGGCCTCGGGTGAGACCGCCTGCGCCCACGGCAGCTTCGGCGGCTGCCGCGCCACTACTGCCACGCCACCCTGGACATCGTAAAGCCTGGGAGAGGCAGCCGACGCGCTGCTCGCTGCGCACGCTGCTAGTAGTCTTCCTGCCGAAGCCCCCGCCTGGAGGGGTGCGGCCCATCATCTTGGCCAGCCTCTGGACTCGTGTCTGGTCAAAATCGCGCCAGCCTATCGTTGCAGCTTGGGGGCGCAGGATCGACCGGTCCTCCCACTGGGGCACTTCCGACCGCCCCTGCGACAAGGCCGGTCTCGTGCACTGCATGATGACCGCCTCCGCGAGGAAGACTGGCATGGTGTCCAGCATCCTGGCGATCGATCTCACGAAATAGTACGAGATGGTCAGCCACGACAAGCTCTACGACCAGGCGGTCGCGACGAAGTTCCCCACGGTGCCGCTTGGGGCCCTCTGCTCGAGCTACCGCCTCCCGCGCACGGCGATGCTGGGCAGGGAGGTCGGGCCCGCCATCGAGGACCACGGCGCCAGGGCCGCGGGCCGCTCGCGCGCGGTTGGAGTCGCCGAGCTGCTGACCTACACCCTGCTGCGCAGCGTCGTCAGCAGGCGCCCGCTGGCGCGGGCCCAGAGCCTGGTGGACGACTGCCTCCTCCAGGCAGTTGGCACGGCTCGCCTGGTCGGGCGCCAGCTGCCCCAAGCCGCCCACGACCTCTTCGAGGGGCCCCAGCAGAGGCGCCTCGAGATCAACTGGGGCAAGGCGGGGTGGATGGTCACAGATGCGGAGCTGGCTCAGGAGCTGGACCGCCACTGGCGTGACCTTGGCTTGGCCAGGACCTCTGGCATGAGACGCCTCGGTGGCGACGGCAACGACGGCAGCAGAAGGCGAGCGCCAGGGCAGGACAAGAGGCTCGCCCGAGCCAAGGAGGTCAGCAGGCAGGACCGAACTGCTGCAAGCCGCGGGGGCCAAGACGTGCCACATCTTCCGCGGCGCACCGCGCGCCACGGCGCGCGGGGGCTCGGTGGTCACTGGCATCGCGGACGGCAAGCTGAACGGGTTGAGGGCGCACGCACTCAGAGCCGAGGGCAGGCTGGCCCCTGGCACTTGCCTGGCCTTCAGGGCGCCCACCATGCCGCGGGCAGTGGTCAGGGGCCCGTTCGTGGTCAATGCTGTGGAAGTGGCCAAGGCGTGGTCCATCGGTCTTCGTGACGGGCTCCTCCAGCAGGAAGTTGTCAGAGCGGTTCACGCTGACGCTGTGCAGCTGCTGGGCGTCGACAAGCCGTGGAACAGGTGCGCTGACCCAGGCCAGGCCGCTGTGCTTAGCCTCGCCAGAGCTGGTTGCCAATTAGCTCGGCACACCTTGCTGCTCGATCATCGCCAACGCGAGATCGACCCCGATTTTGTCTCGCCTGGCGCTGCCTGCCAGGTAGTCCGTGCCTCTGCCTGCGCCGCCTCTGGCGCCACAGCTCTGTGATGGCTTGGGAGCCCTTGGGTTTCGGAGGTCCAATGGGGGCCCGCGGTTTCGGCGCCGGCTAGAAGCTCAAAGCCGTGGACCAAGGGGCACGTCGGAGCTTTCCGGCCCATCAACCGCGGGGCGCCCACTGGCGCCCAAGCGAGCTTCACGCGAGAGGGAGAACCAGAACCACCCACCCGCGTTGCGTGAAATGCAGGGCCCGTGGGACCCTCTGGCACCGATGTGTCGATTGCTCCGGCACGGAGCTTCTCAGGAGAGGTGTTTGTCCGCCCGAGCTGCTCAAGGCGGCTCGCACTGCCAAAAGCGAGGGCGAGGAGTGCGGTGAATATTTTGCTGGGGGCCTTCTGCCCTCACCGTCGCATGTCTTTCAGGATTGTGATATCCCCGAGGAAGATCACATCCGCTTCGCGGGGTGTATGCCTGGATGGCTCTTCGAGGGAGAGGTGTTAGTGAACGGTTCCTCGTTTTCTAACTCAGCACGACGGCCTACGTCGCGCGGGATGGGCTGCCACCAGCTGCAACGATGATGGCTCGTTCAGGTGTGGAATGCATGGTGCCGTCCCCTTAGCATGGTATTTGACGCAGTCCTCTAGGGACGCGGAAGATTATGCGATCCACATGTTGTCGCGTTTCTCGGTAGACCCTGCTAGCGACGGGGCCCTGACAGTCTTTTCGGATTGCACTGGGCCCATAGGCTGCGCTAGGAACGCCTCGAAAGCGCTGAGCCTCATGAATCCCACCAGGCATTGTTGGGAAAGCTGGTGGCTGAAGCACGGAGAAAGTGCGAGCGTGAGAAAAGTCAAGGCCCATTCGTCGGCATCACAATATGCCCCGTTCTTTGACACGTGGTGCAGGCTTGGCAACAGTCTCGCGGACCGATGGGCGAAAAAGAGGGCCCTGCTCTGGAAGGTCCCCCCAAGAAGGTCCTCTTCACGGAAGCCTGTGAAGATATTGCTGTCAAACTGGTTAGATGAATTGGACATTGCACGCGTGGCTTGGAGACCACGAGGCCTGGGACACTGAGGGAGTGGTAGGCACCTCGGACGTTGTCCTAGACCTAGATTATGCCACCGATGATCGCGATGCTGCGGTCCTCGACGAAGCCCTCCGAAGCCGCGATACGCTGGACTGGAGGCTCGCCCCCCCCGGCCCGCCGCCTCCCGAGCCCGAGCCCGAGCCGATCGATGTGGGGAGCACTGATGTGGGGGTGATGTCTGGGAGGCCGTGGCTGTTTCAAGGGCACTCGGTGGTGAAATGCGACGTGGAGGGTCCCGACCACCCGTGCTTGTTTTTTGCAAGTCCTGCGGGGCCTCATTGGCCCAGCGAGTGGTGCATGGGAAGGGCATCGCGGGGGCCTGCATGGACCCTAGGCACCCTGGGCTTCGGACCCAGGAGGTCCCGTCTCCGTCGGTTCCTCCACCCTTCGGCTCCCCATCCTCCTCCGCGGCTTTCTGCTTTTAGAGGCCCCGAGGACGAGGATATCGAATGGCTCCAGGGGAAGCTGGGGGGGGCGTGCTGAGGGTGTCGGGTTCTCGGTGGAGGTTGGGCCTTCGCCGGGGCCCGTTGGCGGGCCCACTGGGGGCCCCGTGGCCGACCGTTCTCAGGTCCCCGCCAGCTTCCACCAGTACGGGGTCTCGGTCCCCGTGCTGGACCTGGGGCGAGTTGCTCGCCTGCATGGGTTTGCCTCGCCCGATTCTGCGGTTGAATGGGCGCAGGAGTGCAGGCGGGCTAAGCGCGAGGCCGAGGCCACAGAGGCCTGGCCACTCGAGGACGACAAGCCCCGTTCCAGCCGCGGTGACGGCAGGCGGACTCTTGCCCGCCCAACCCCATACCATACCATACCATACCATGCCATGCCATGCCATGCCATGCCATGCCATACAATACCATACCATACCACACCACACCATACCATTACCATACCTCATCCTCCTCCTCCTCCTCCTCCTCCTCCTCCTCCTCCTCCTCCTCCTCCTCCTCCTCCTCCCATGTAGCTGTTGGGGTCTCGCGCCTGCTGCCACGTCCCCGCCGGGAAGCACCGCGTGGCCCTCGTAGGGCTCGGCGCTGCGCGTAACGGCGGCCCGGGGGGGGGGAGGGGGGGGGGGCCCTTCGAATGCAGAAAATCTACCCCGATAATAACCACCTCGACACGCGAAGCCGTTCAGGAAACGCGCCCAAAGGAGGAATCAAGCAGGGCAGGGCTGCTTAGTAAACGTCCAAGGCCGTTTCGCAAACGCCAATTGTCCGGTCCGGGTGGTGTTTCCTCCCTTGAGCCCTGGCGGAGGCGGGGGCCAGAGGCCTCCCCGCGGCGAGGGTCCGAGCAGCACAGATTTCAAATGATAGAAAGAAAGTAATCAAAAACAGTCTCGACAAATGACAAGCAATCCAAAACAATCAAAACAGCACGACATATCGTCCCAAGCTTTGTCTTAAAACTAGTCTGGAATGTTCCTCCTGTAGAGGGACGTGCCCGACTTCAGAGCAGCTGGGGAAATGCTGCCTGGCAGGGAGCGCGTGAGCCGTGAGACTTCTGCTCGCCATCGCTCGGACGTCCACTGCCCGTGCATGTTGCGACTTCGTGCGTGCACTTGCTCGCAGGTTGAACAAGAATGCTCCTCGATGGTCCTGGCCGAGACAAAAGGCACACGTCCGAGCGACGCCAAGTCTAAGGCCCCCCCCCCGCCTCTCGACGCACACTGCTGCATGTCAGAGGCGACGATAGGGGCGAATAGCCGAGGGGAGAGCAATACATGTTTACATCTATTCAGGTTCGCGGATGATCTGTGTCTTCGAAAAGGCTCCCGGGCGAACACGTGAAATGTCCGGCCCTGTCGTCGCCTCCGAATGCATCGCCACCCCCCACCAGAGGCTTCCTCGCTGCCCCGGCGTCTCAGGACCTCGGAGGCGCCCGCTTGGTCCCGCGAGGCCTCCAGCCCCAGGACCTCTCCCCAGGAAGAGATCCCTCCAGAGGCAAAAATGATGAACTTTCCCGCATGCGTTTCAGTGCTTTCGGCTGTCCACGCGGAGTTCGGACAAACAATGACAACTATTCAAAACAAATGTCAAACATGCGCAGAAAATCGTCCCCAGACTATGTTTGAAATTATTTGTGAATATTCCTCCTGGAAGGAAACATGCCCGACTTAATATCAGGCCCAGGATCGCCCCACTTGCGGCCTGCGAAGGTCCCAAAGGACTCACTGAGAGCCCCAAAGGGCCCCAGGACAGGCCAAAGAGAGCCCCGAGGGCCCCCCGCAGGGACCCTGCCCCGAGACGGCCCCTAAGCTGACCCACCGATGGCTCCAAGGCGGCCCAGCGATGGCCACACAACGGTCCCCCCGAGACCCCCTGACGGCACGGAGGGCCCCAAGACGATCCAAGAGAGCTCCACGACGGCCCAAGAGCCCCAATACAGCCCAAGAGGGCCCCAAGGGAGCCTCGAGGCTGCCCCCAGGAGCCCTGGAGAGGGCCCCAAGGGGGCCGCAAGACTGCCCCACGGGAGCCCTGGACAACCCCAAAACGGCTCTAATATTAAGCCGGGCCTGTTCCCCTACAGGCCGGTTTTAGACAGTCCACAAGATACTCCCAAAATGAAATAGCCCAAAGTCGTCCCCAGACTATTGTTTGACTATTTTTGAGCACTCCTTCAATAGAGAGGGACGTGCCCGACTGAACTCTAAGAATAACCATGCCATCTCCTCCAGAACCGAAGATCCGAGGTGTCACGCGTGACGGCCCCGCGAGCGGTGCTCGACGGGCCGGCATACGGGGTGCTTTTCGCCGGCACGGTGGCGGGACTTGCCCCACAAGCATCTGGGCAGCCATCCTCCTCCAGGGATGCCTTCTGGCGGTGGGCCCTAGGCAAAATCGGATTCTCTGGAAATTGGGGGCCGGGGCGTTTGCAGTTGGCCCCGTGGGGAAAAAAAGACGGTCGAAACACAACGGAACCACCGAATTCCTAAGGACCGCTTCGCGATCCTCGATGGTGGTGATCCCGGCGGGGGTCCTGCGTGGACTGCCTGCCCACCGTGCCGGTGAGATGAGAAAGCGGTGCTTAGGACTGTGGGTAGCTTGTGGCTTGTGACCGCGCGGGCAGGCAGCCGACGCCGCCACCGCACGAGACGCCGCCCCCGCCCAGGGCCCCCCCCCCCCGGGCGCTGGTCAGCAACTGCAGCGCGCGGTCGGCGCCGAAATGGAAGACCAGCACGTCCACCGTGAACTTGGGGTCGTCCGCGCGACCGGCCGCCTCCGACGGCGCCGGGAAGGGGGGCGATCGAGCCAGCGATCCTACGCAGGCCGCAGCGGCGTCGAGGAGAAGCGAGCCTCTGGGATCGATGCTTCTGGGACCGTCGAGCAGACCGGTCCCGGATGAGGAACTTGCCCAGATATTATGGACCCCTGGGGGTCACTATTTCGTTTCAAGCGCGAAGGCAAGGCGGTCTAGCGGTTCAGCGAGTCGGAAGCGCCACGTGCCTAGATGTGCCGCGCAAGTGAATTCGAGGCAAAAAATGCATAAACATAAAAACTTCCGACGGAGCTCCAAGAGTCGCGTTGAGACGACAACGAGCGCTCTGACTTCTGCTGCGCTGCCTTGAGATTGTTGATGCATCTTGGTGCAAGTCATAGGCCTTACCATCTATCAGTCGCCCAATTCATTCAGTGGAGGCCAGTCCACAAGAAAAACCTTCCACAAGAAACCCAACCCTGAGACCCCAGGACGTCCATGGGGTCACCATCGCAAAAACTATCGAAACCCATGAAACCCAGGGCACCCTGGAGGCAAGCAGGGTGCTTCCTGGCTTGGGTTTCCACTGTGCGGTCATCGTGCTACCAGAAAGAACACCGAATGAGGAGGAGGAGGAGGAGGAGGAGGAGGAGGAGGAGGAGGAGGGGGAGGAGGAGGAGGAGGGAGGAGGAGGAGGAGGAGGAGGAGGAGGAGGAGGAGGAGGAGGAGGAGGAGGAGGAGAGGAGGAGGGGAGGGAGGAGGAGGAGGGGAGGAGGAGGAGGAGGAGGAGGAGGAGAGGAGGAGGAGGAGGAGGAGGAGGAGGAGCAGGAGGAGGAGGAGGAAAACGAGGAGGGGGAGGGGGAGGGGGAGGGGGAGGAGGTGGAGGAGGGGGGGAGGAGGAGCAGGAGGAGGAAAAACGAGGAGGAGGGGAGGGGGAGGAGGGGGAGGAGGAGACGAGGAGGAGGAGGAGGAAAATGAGGAGGGGGAGGGGGAGGAGGGGGAGGAGGAGGACGAGGAAGAGGAGGAGGAGGAGGAAGAGGTCAAGGAGGAGGAGGAGGAGGGCCTGCGCGGCGCCGCCGGAGGGGGCGGCGGCACCGGCGCCCTGCGGCTTCAGGCAGCCGCCCATGTGGGCCCGCGGGCGGCGCGGGCGGGGGGGGCGGAACGCCGACGGGCCGCCTGGAGGGAGCGCCCAAATCGGAGGACGCCAGCTTCAGCCCGAGGGAGCGGGGCCCTGGACACGCCACAAAGATATATATATATATGTGAAAACACACACACACACACACAGTTAGTATTCATGTATACGGATATAATGCACATGTAGTATACATCTATAATATACATATATATATGTGCATATATATATATATACATATATATATCTATATATATATATATATATATATATATCCGCCGGCCCCCTTGTGGGGCCACCGGGCTGTAGGGCGAAGGTTCGCAGTTTCCTGTACCAGTTGCAGCTTCCAGTTTCCACTGTTACAGTTATATTTCTTGCTGCTTAGTGTTCCTTGTTGATGGACCGCGCGAGGGGGGGGAGGCCCAAACGGGCAGGTTTAGCACGCCCTGAGCGTGTGCTCTGAATTGCTGGGGTGGGTAAAAATTCACACCCCTCACGCAGATCGGCGGGGTCAGGGTCCAAAAACACACGGGATGTGCCACATTTCTGAAATTCGGTGGCACCCCTCACGCAGATCGGCGGGGTCAGGGTCCAAAAACACATGGGATTTGCCACCTTTCTGAAATTCGGCGGCAGCCCTCATGCAGATCGGCGGTGTCAGGGTCCAAAAACACATGGGATTTGCCACATGTCTTAAATTCGGTGGCACCTCTCACGCAGATCGGCAGGGTCAGGGGGCAAAAACACAAAGGGTTTGCCACATTTCTCAAATTCGCTGGCACCTCTCAAGCAGATCGGCGGGGTCAGGGTCCAAAAACAAATGGGATTTGCCACCTGTCTGAAATTCAGTGGCACCCCTCACACAGATCGGCGGGGTCAGGGTCCAAAAACACATGGGACTTGCCACATGTTTGAAATTCGGCGGCAGCCCTCATGCAGATCGGCGGTGTCAGGGTCCAAAAACACAGGGGATGTGCCGCATGTTTGAAATGCGGCGGCACCCCTCACGCAGATCCGTAGGGTCAGGGTCCAAAAACACTGTGGATTTGCCGCATTTCTGAAATTCGGTGGCACCCCTGACGCAGATCCGTAGGGTCAGGGTCGAAAAACAAACAGGTCCCGACACTTCTTCACGGCGGCGCCCAGACCTCATGATTTAGCTCTTGCATCTCGCATTATCCGAGGAAGGGGGCCGGCGGCATGGGGCGAAGCCCTGACGGATACTACACACACATCTATATATATATATATATATATATATATATATATATATATACGCACACATACATACATACATACATACATACATACAGACAGACAGACAGACAGACAGACAGACAGACAGACAGACAGACAGACAGACAGACAGACAGACAGACATACACATGGCTCTATGTATATATATATATATATACACACAGACGCCCTCCGACGAATTCTGCATACGCCTTCAGGGGGGCGGCGGTGTCTGAAATCGCTGGCTCCCAGGCGGTGGTTTACACACCGCCACCCTCCCCTGGCCCAGGAATTGTCTATTGGAGGTCGTTTGTGTGTATGTTTGTGGCGGACTGGAGGCAAACGAACTTGAAAACTTCGCCCACCTGGCTCTCCCGGAGTGGCACTCCAGACAGAGAGAGAGAGAGGGAGGAGATGGCCAATGCATGTTGGGAGCGCGTCCTGCGCTGCCCCGCACGGGCCCCTGACTCTGCCGACCGCGATGCAGAGGTGGAAGTCACCCCTGGTGCCGCTGCTGCCGCACGGGCCGCGGTGATGCAGAGGCCTGCAACCTGCAGCCTGCAAATGAAAGAGGCCCAGGGACACACACACACACACACACACACACACACACACACACACACACGCGCGCATAGAGAGAGAGAGAGAGAGGCAAGAGCTCCCAGGATGCCTCATACCTGCCCATATTATCTGGAGTCTCGTCTTCACCTCCGCCACCACCTCCACCTCCACCTCCACCTCCTCTTCCCCTTCCTCCTGGTCCTCCTCTTCCTGCTGTTCCTCCTCCTCCTTTCCTCCTCCTCGTCCTCTCCTCCTCCTCACATATTTTCTGGGAATCGACTGCTATGTATGTCTGCATGTTTTCCCTACCGAGTAAAGCTGGAAGGGCTCGGCGGCGCCCCCGGGGGTAGTGCAACAAAGAAGGCCTTCTCGCAAGTCTCGAAGTCCTACGGCCTTCTGAAAAATTTCCCAAACGGTTCCCGAAGGCACGAGGTGAAAAAGAGAAGGCCTTTTCGCAAGGCTCGAAGTCCTCCGGCCTTCTGGACAATGTCCTAAACGTTCCCCGAGGGCACAAAACACCTCTCTCACACGGCGGGAAGGGTTTCGGAGGAGCCCCGCCGCTTTCCAGGAAAGCCTCCTCCCTTCTCCCTTCCCCCTGGAAGTTCTCGACTGCCTTCGGCACTCCATGGGACCGTTCCGCGGCCCCCCAGGGGCCGTCGAGGAGCGGCTCGAGGAGCGGCTCGGGGAAGACCGCCAAATCCAGGACCCGCTTCCCGTCAGGACCTGGTTCCTAAAGAGCCAAATTCGCCATATGGCTCGCTCGGACGTGCAGTCCCAGTGCGTTGTTCGGTTTCGTGTGCTCATTTTTCGCACGATGAATCAAGAGGCTTCTTGGATGTCCTCGCCGAGGAAAAAAAACACAGGTCCGAGCGACGCAAATAGAAAGACCACCCTCGCAACAAGCACAGCGACACGCAAAGCCGTGTAGCAAACGCACCCTGAGGAAGGAATCGAACAGGGCAACGCTGCTCACTAAACGCCCATGGACGCTCAGCTGAGATTGAAATATGGGGTTTCCTCCTTTGATTATGCGCAGGGTGACAACTATGCCCCAACCCACCGACCCTGGCGCGGCACATCCCGGGCCGAGGATCGGTGCGCGTGCGTGTGTGCGTGCGTGCGCGTGTGCGTATGAATGCGTGTGTGTGTGCGTAAATGCGTGCGTGCGTCTGTGTGCGTGAATGTGTGTGAATGTGTGTGTGTGTGAATGTGTGTACGTGTGTGAATGTGTGTGTGTGTGTGAAAGTGTGTGTGTGTGTGCTGTGTGTGCGTGCGTGCGTGTGTGTGCGTGCGTGCGTGTGTGTGTGTGTGTGTGCGCGTGTGTGCGTGCGTGTGTGCGTGCGTGCGTGCGTGCGTGCGTGCGTGCGTGCGTGTGTGTGTGTGTTTGTGTGAGTGTGTGCGTGCGTGCGTACGTGCGCGCGCGCGTGCGTGCGTGCGTGTGCGTGTTCGTGTGCGTGCGCGTGCGCGTGCGCGTGTGCGCGTGCGTGTGCGTGTGCGTGCGCGTGTGCGTGTGCGTGTGCGTGTGCGTGTGCGTGTGCGTGTGCGTGTGCGTGTGCGTGTGCGTATGCGCGTGCGCGTGCGTGTGCGAGTGCGAGTGCGTGTGCGTGTACGGGTGCGAGTGCGCGTGCGAGTGCGAGTGCGTGTGCGCGTGCGCGTGCGTGTGCGTGTGCGTGTGGGTGTGCGTGTGCGTGTGTGTGTGCGCGTGCGCGTGCGCGTGTGTGCGCGTGCGCGTGCGCGTGCGTGTGCGTGTGCGTGTTCGGGCGCGTGTGTGTGTGTGTATGTGTGTGCGTGTGCGTGTACGTGTGTGTGCGTGCGTGCGCGCGCCCGTGCGTGCATGCGTGCGTGCGTGCGTGTGTGTGTACGTGTGTGTGCGTGCGTGCGTGTGGGTGTGGGTGCGGGTGTGAGTGTGGGTGTGGGTGTGGGTGTGGGTGTGTGTATGTGTGTGAGTATGTGTCTGTGTCTGTGTGTGAATGCGTGTGTGTATGCGCGTGTGTGTTTGTGCGTGCGTGTGCGTGTGTGCGTGTGTTCGTGTGTGTGTGTGCGTGCGTGTATGCGTGCGTGCGTGTTCTTGTGCGTGCGTGTATGTGTGTGCGTGTGTGCGTGTATGCGTGTGTGCGTATGTGTGCGTATGTACACGTGTGCGTGTGTGTGTGCGTGTGTGCGTGTCTGCGTGCGTGCGTGCGTGAACGTTTGTGTGTGTGCGTGCGTGTGTGCGTGTGTGCGTGTGCGTGTGTGGGTGTGTGTGTGCGTGGGCGTGTGCGTGTGTGCGCGCGTGCGTGCGTGCGTGCGTGCGTGCGTGCGTGCGTGCGTGCGTGCTTGCGTGCGTGAGTGTGCGTGCGTGCGTGCGCGCGCGCGTGTGTGTGAGCGTGTGTGCGCGTGTGTGCGCGCGTGTGTGTGCATGCGTGTGTGTTTGTGCGCGCGCGCGCGCGCGTGCGTGCGTGCGTGTGCGCGCGCGCATGCGTGATCGAGCGCGTCCGTGCGCGCTTGCGCGCGCGTGCGCGCATGCGCGTGCGCGTGCGTGCGCGGGCGAGCGTGCGTGTGAATGTGCGCGTGCGTGTTCGCGTGTTCTCGTGCGCGTGCGTGTGCGCATGCGCGCGCGTGTGCGTGTGCGCGTACGCGTGTAATTGTGTGCGTGCGTGCGTGCGTGTGCGTGTGCGCGTACGTGTGTAATTGTGTGCGTGCGTGCGTGTGTGTGCGTGTGCGTGCGCGCGTGCGCGTGTGTGCGTGCGTGTGCGCGCGTGCGTGTTCGTGCGTGGCCGCGTGCGTTCGTGCGCGCGCGTGCGTGTGCGTGCGTGTGTATGTGTGTGCGGGCGCACGTGCGTGCGCGTGCGTTTGTGCGCGCGCGTGGCGCGTGTGCGCGTGCGTGCGCGCGTGCGCACGCGCGCGTGCGCGCGCGTGTGCGCGTGCACGTTTGCGCGCGCGTGTCAATGTGCATGCGTGCGCGTGCGTGCGCGTGCGCGTGCGCGTGCGTGTGCGCGCGCGTGCGCGCGCGTGCGTTTGCGCGCGCGAATGTTTGCGCGCTGCGCATGTGCGCGCGCGTGCGAATGCGCGCGCGCGCCCGTGTGTGAGTGCGCTCGCGCATGCGCGCGCGCGTAAGTGCGCGCGTGAGTGCGCGCGCGCTGCGCGCGCTGCGCGCGCGAACGCGCGCGCCTGTGACCGCGCGCGATTGCGCGCGCGACGCCAAACAGGCGCACGTCGAGAAGACGCAGCAGAGGCTCAAGAAGCAGGGCGGGGCGCTAGCAGCCCAGTGCGTCGCGCCGGGGAGCTCCCGGCCCAGCCCAGCGCCTTCTGCGCAGCTGCCCCCGGGCCGCGGGCCAGCACCCCTGGCCCCGAGGGCGGCGGTAGCGGCGTTGCTCAACGGACCTTGCCCACGCTGGAGCAGGCGCCGCTCAGCGTCGGGGCTGGTTCTGAGCTTCAGGCAACGGGCGAAGGTGGCCAGTGGGGCGACGCAACGCGCGCGCCTACACTCGCGCGCCCGCTCGCACGCGCGCGCGCACTCGCGCGCGCCAAAAAGCGCGCGCGCACTCCTTGGCGGTCGCGGCCTCGCGCGCGGCGACGAGGCGGCGCAGGTTGAAAAATGCGGCTCGCCTGCTGCCGCGGGACCCTTTGCGCCCATGCGTTGATCCTGCAACCCGGCCCCATCGACGCGCCGGGAGACAAGCTTCCCCTGGAAGACCTGGGCGCGCACATGCGCCTGCTCAGCCACGCCCGGGCCAACCACAACTCCGGGCGCCACTGCCGAGCTCAGCCAGGCGCTTCTCGCTGGAGGAAATGGCACCGCCACCGGCGGCCCCCCCGGCCCCTCGCAGAGGCGGCGTCGGCATGACCAATAGCCTCGGCCTTCTCCGCATTTTTGAAAACGAGCGTGAGCTGCTCCACCTTCTCCTGCTCGGCCAATAGCTGCGCGGCCACGGCGCCCGCGGCCTTGCCTGCGACTTAGGGCGCCGCGGCCGATGACTTTGACGGGGTCGCCGCCTTGGCCCTCCATTCCCCGCGCCTCTGGCCAGCCCAAAAATTTTGCAGGGCCACTTCTCAGCGAAGTTGACGCGGGGCTCGTTATCTCGCAGAACAAGATGGCACGGCGCGAAAACCTATTCGAACCACTTCCACCTGCGGGCGCCGACGGCACACGGCACAGCTGCCCCACCGCGGGGCGCCAGGCAGCCGGGAGCGCAAGAACCCGAAGGTGCCACGCAGGCCCAGAAGAAGAGGGACAGGAAACATATCGCATACTTTGGGGGAAAAAACGCAAAATACCTCTAGCTCGGAAGTCGCCGACCAAGGCCGACTCGCGGTCGCCGAGCGGTTCGCAGCCTTGAGTCAGCATGGCTACATACGGATGCGCGTGTGCGTGCGTGCGTGCGTGCGCGTGTGCGTTTGCGTGTGCGCGTGCGCGTGTGTGTGTGTGCATGTGTGCGTGCGTGCGTGACTGTATGCGCGTACGCGTGCGTGTATGCGCGCGCGTGTCAGCGTGCGCGAGTGCGCGTGTGTGTGCACGTGCGTGCGTGTTCGCGCGTGTGTGTGTGAACGCGTGCGTGTGTGTGTGTGCGCGTGCACGCGTGCGCGTCTGTGAGCGTGCGCGCGTGCGCGTGCGCGCGCGTGCGCATGTGCGCACGCGTGTGCATGTGCGCGCGCGAGTGCATGTGTATGTGTGTACGAGTGGTTGCGTGTGGGTGTGTGCGCGTGTGTGCGTGCGAGTGTGTGCGTGTACTTGTGTGCGTGCGCGTGCGTGCGTGCGTGTGCGCGCGTGTGCGCGTGTACGCGTGTACGCGCGTGCGTGCGAGCGTGTTTGCGCGAATCCTTGTGTGCGTGCGTGCGTGCGTACGCGTGTGCGTGTGCGCGCGCGAGCGTGTTTGCGCGTGTGTGCGTGTGTGCGGGTGCGCGCGCGTGCGCATGTGCACGTGCGCGCGCGTGCGCCTGTGCGCGTGTGATCGTATGCTTCTGTGCGCGCCGCGTGAGTGCGCGTGTGCGCGCGTGCGCGCGTGCGCGCGCGTGCGCATGTGCGCGTGTGCGTGTGCGTGCGCGTGTGCGCGCGAGCACGTGCGTGCACGCGTGTTCGTGTGTTCGCGTGTCCGCGTGAAAACGTGTGCGCGCATGCGTGTGCGGGTGAAAACGTGTGCGCGTGTGTGCGCGTGTGCGCGCGCGTGTGCGTGCGCGTGTGCGTGTGCGTGTGCGCGTGCGCGTGCGCGTGCGCGTGCGCATGCGCGTGCGCGTGCGCGTGGTCGCGTGCGCGTGCGTGTGCGCGTGCGTGTGCACGTGCGTGTGCGTGCGTGCGTGCGTGCGCGTGTGCGTGTGCGTGTGCGTGTGCATGTGCGTGTGCATGTGCGTGTGCGTGTGCGTGTGCGCGTGCGCGTGCGCGTGCGCGTGCGCGTGCGCGTGCGCGTGCGTGTGCGCGTGCGCGTGAGTGAGCGTGTGCGTGTGCGCATGCGTGTGCGTGTGTGCGTGTGTCCGTATGAATGGGCGTGTGGATGTGCGTGTGCGTGTGCGTGTGCTTGTGCGTGTGCGTGTGCCGTGACTGTCTGCGTGTGCGCGTGTGTGCGTGTGCGCGTGTGTGTGCGCGTGTGCGCGCGCGTGCACCTGTCCCTGGCCAGCCCACCGACCCTGGGCCCAGCATTAGGTCGGGCGTCCCCCTACAGGCCGATTCGGGACGAAAAATGAAAAACTGACAAAAAAAATCCGCCGGCCCCCTTGCGGGGCCACCAGGCTGTAGGCCCAGGGTTTGCTGTTCCCTGCACCGGTTCCAGCTTCCAGTTTCCACTGCTACATTCTTGGTTTATGCTGCTTACTGTTCCTTGTTGATGGACCGCGCGGGGAGGGGGGAGCCGACAAGTGCCCTGGCTAGCGTCTCCTGGGAGGGTTCCCAGAATTTCTGGGGTCAGGGTCAGGGTCAGGGTCCAAAAGCACGAGGGACCTGCCAAATTTCTAAAAACATGATGGACCCACGAACCTGGAAAGGGATATAGAACCGCATGCATGGAAACGTTTGCACGACACCGTATTGGGCGACGGGCACTTCCACGAGACAACCCGCGAAACATTCCACGAGACACGGGCGACCGTTTTCTACGTTTTCCTGGAAACATTCCACGAGACACCCCGCGAAACAGTCCACGAGACACCCCACGAAACATTCCACGACGACAGGCAACCACTCAACCAAGGCGGTGTGGTCGTGCTGGGGAGTGGTCGTGCTGGGGTGTGGTCGTGCTGGGGGGTGGTCGTGCTGGGGGGTGGTCGTGCTGGGGGGGTAGTCGTGCTGGGGGGTGGTCGTGCTGGGGCGTGGTCGTGCTGGGGCGTGGTCGTGCTGGGGCGTGGTCGTGCTGGGGTGTGGTCGTGCTGTGGTGAGGTCGTGCTGGGGTGTGAACGTGCTGGGTGATGGTCTTGCTGGGGTGGGTTCGTGCTGGGGTGGGGTAATGCTGGGGTGTGGTCGTGCTGGGGTTTGGTCGTGCTGGGGTGGGGTCGTGTTGGGGTGGGGTCGTGCTGGAATGTGTTCGTGCTGGGGTGTGGTCGTGCTGGGGTGTGGTCGTGGAAACGCATATAGAACCGCATGCATTTCGCTCGAGACATCCTCAACACACGAAAGAGTGGCCCGCACCCTGTGATTTACCGATCGGGATTTCAAAAACAAGCGTTTCGCCCGAGACATCCTCAAAGTTTAATCCGCCGGCCCACCTCGACCTCGATATTTATCAGAGAGAGAGTCCGCCGGCCCACCTCAGTTGAGGCACCGGGGACACATTACCATCCTAAAAAAAAACCATGGGCCTACGCCCTTTCCGGGAAAAAATCGGCGACTGCCCTCACGCAGATCGGCGGGGTCAGGGTCTGAAAACACGAAGGTTCTGCTACATGCTGAAATTCGGTTGTACCCCTCACGCAAATCGGCCGGGACAGGGTCCAAAAACACACAAGGATTGGCCACATTTCTAAAAACCGGTGGCACCCCTCACGCAGATCGGCGGGTTAGGGTCCAAAAACAAAGGATTTGCCCCATTTCTGAGATTCGGTGGGACCCCTGGCCTCGCGCAGGTCGCCGGGGTCATGGCACAAGAATACAAAAGGGATTTGCCACATTTCTGAAATTCGGTGGTGCCCCTGCTGCGGATCGGCGGGGTCAGGGCCTCATGATTTCGTTTTTGCAGTACCCATTGTCCGAGAGAAGGGGCCGGCGGCAGGGGGCGAAGCCCTTACGGATAAACAAATATGGCCAGGAAATGGTCAACAAATCGTCCCCAGACTATTGTTTGACTACGTTTGAATATCCCCCCTGTAGAGGGACAGGCCCGACTCAAGCCCACTACATGCCAATCCAGGATCGGTGAGTCGGGCGGCTGACGTCCTCCGAGCCGGTGGAGGCCTGGAAACGGGCACCAACACCAACACAGGGGGTTGCCTCCACAGGGGGGGAAAGGATCCCAAACCCCGGCGTCGGTGGTGATGTTTCGGCCACCTAGGAAGCCCGAACACTACCACCATCGCCGACATCGGGAGCAGTTCCCCTCGGGTGGAGGCACACCGCCGAAATTGGTGTCGGCGTCAACCTCCAGGCCTGCGAAACCGACCGCGCAGCGGGCAGGGAGAGCTGCGCCCGCGCTCTGACGCTCGAGCCGCGGCGGC